AATGTTTTAACTTAATTAATTAGTTAATTAATTAATTTACATTTAACTAATATTATTGTTAAATATTATCTCATTAATAATTCACAATAATAATTCACACTAAACTAAATAATAATAAAGTTTCAATCCTAGCTATATATATTATGCATCCCATTAACAATAATTAACTAATTTAACTTATTAATTAGTTAATTTCCATTTAACTAATATTGTTAAATATCATTAATTCACAATAATATATAATTCACACTTAACTAATAAAGTTTGAATCCTAACTTAAATCACTACAAATCCTAAATTATGCATTAACAATAATTAACTAATTAATAAACAAATTAAACCTCATCATCATCATTGAGCAATTAACTAATATTTAAATCTAACTAATATTATCAACTCATCAAATTCTAAACCCATTTCCTCAATGTTTTAACTTAATTAATTAGTTAATTAATTTACATTTAACTAATATTATTGTTAAATATTATCTCATTAATAATTCACAATAATAATTCACACTAAACTAAATAATAATAAAGTTTCAATCCTAGCTAGCTATATATTATGCATCCCATTAACAATAATTGCTAATAAATAATAATTGGTGATAATTAATAACCTAATAATTAAGCTAGCTAACCAATTAATTAAATCACTACAAGTCACTAATTAATTAATCTATAATAAGCTAGCTAATACTTAAATCATCACTACACATCCTAAATTATTATGCATTAATAATAACAATAATTTAACTAATTAATATTTATATTTAAATTTAACTAATTAAATTACGTTAATAGTTTAATAATATATTGTTAATAATATGAAAATTAACATGACCTCACTAAATTACGTTAATAGTTTAAATAAATGAACAACTAACCTCACTAATTAATTATTAAGCTAATAATTAATTATTATTATATAAAGAAAAAAGAATCCTAACCTCACTAATAATAATTAATTATTAAGCTAATAATTAATTTATTACACAATTAAAAGAAATTAGTTAAAATGACATACCTTATCTGCATAAACTCGGAAAAATGATGAACTGACGGATTACATCATTCAATCTTTAAATCGATACTACATCACTCGAATCTACGAATTTTTGAACTGATAATTGTTGTTCTTGCAATTGTAGTGGACGATGGGGTTGGGTTATATAAAAAAGTTTGTCACGGATTTGTCATGGATTTATCCGTGACAACTCTTTTTCCGTACCGTATTATTAAAGGTTACCGCTGGAAAATCAATAATTGAGGTTTGTCACGGATTTTGTCACGGATCCAGCCGTGACAAAGTTTTTTTGAAATTTGTCACGGATTTGTCACGGATCTGTCCGTGACAAATGCCCGGAAGCAAAAAAAGTACTCACCGGAGTAAAAAACCGGTCGCCGGAGTAAATTTGTCACGGACCAAATCCGTGACAATATTTCGTGACAAAGCCCGTGACAACTTTGTCACGGCCGGAATCCGTGACAAAAATCCGTGACAAACGGCGTGTTTTTTTGTAGTGTGTACGGAGTACACTAAACAGGAGAACACTAATTTCTCTAAAACCGAATTTCAGGAGTGTACATAGTACACTAAACAGAACAAAAGTATCCACGTCAGAGTGCCAAATCAAGAGTAAGGCTTTTTCAAATGTTTATCCCCTTTTTTATATTGACCATTACTTCCATATAGTAATTTAGTGACTGTATATAAAAAAATTATAATAATAATTAATTTAAAAAGCTAAGTATTTTACGACTACTATTCCACTATGATGTTTACAGACTATTAATAATGTAAGTATGTTGACATCAACAGGTATAGCAACTAGTTATAAATTATTTTAACTAGTTCCATCTAATATCTACCTAAATATTTCTATAAGTAATTTATTTTGTATATCATTCTTAGATGATAATATATCCCATAAACTGACATAAATAAGTAACATATAAATACCGTACGTATACGTAGGAGTAACATGCATGTTGTATACATAGATATTAATCAATTAATAACTACATGTTTGTTAGCAGTATGTAATATTTCATACGTAGTTACGTAATTGTTTACATAGAGTTAGCATACATGTTATAAGTTATCTGTATAATCATTTGTCTCAAATATAATATATTTATATATGTCTATCATGCATGTTATGTAACTTTTTAATACCGGCCGGTAGCTATTAATTATTATTATTTTAGTATAGCTAGGTATACGTATGTAACTAATGCATGCATGTAGGGCATAAAAATTTATATTAACTTTATTAGACTTGATGATGTGTAAATATATATATATATAATTGATGTACCCAAATTTTGTATACTTACTTTAGTATTTATACAAAGATAACATATATATTGGCCAGGTATATTAATGAAAAACATATCACATAAGCTACGCATACTTAATTTTTCATTCAGATAAATTTCACATGTTATAATAAGTCTATAAAAGCAATGAGTATATCTGAAAACACATAAAATATCTCTAAATTATACGGTGTTCATCATCCTCATAAGTCCGGACCTTATAAACCTTAAGTCTCAATTCATTATTCATACATTCATATTGGGGAGCTGAGCTAAGACAAAATTGATTATGCCTGAGGGAACTTACCTTCCTTGTTTCATATTGGGGGTGCTAGGTGTACTCTTTTTCCCTTTATTAGGATTTTTTGTCCACTGGGTTTTTTTAGTAAAGGTTTTTAACGAGTCATCTCCTTATCATGGACAAGGGTGGTGATCCCCCGGCTGAAGAGGGAGAAACCAAAGACAGAAGAACGTTGCAGATACAATTATGGACTACTCCCTTTCACCTCGAGTACTCTCAGCTCAGGGAGTGGGAGACTCCTGATGGAGTATATGGACCCCGACCCCCCGGCCTGCCGACTATTGGGCCCAGACAGCGGCCCACGTACGCTCAGTAGATAACATTTACATTATTATTATTCGGGTGTTCTAGATTAGCCTTTGATATGCTTATATTTTACATAATTTTTAGACCTAGTTTGTTGATAATTTATTTATTAAAGTTATACTTTTGTACATATTTTTATTATTTGTCGTTAATTTGTACAGTCCTATGCGTGTATTTGGTATTTTCAGGTACTTTTGATGTTATTTAGATGCATTTAGCGTGAAGAAATGAAGAAAATAAAAGTTAATGTTGGAGGATAACAAAAGTGAAATTTCCTTCAAAGCAAATAAGGAGTAGATTGGAGAAAAGTAGGAAAAAGTAATAAAGACAAAGATGGGATTCAAACCCTGATCAATGAAGCAAGAAAGAGCATAGTTTACCAATGAGCTAAATGAACCATATTGAAATATTCTGTTGAAAGTTCGATACATTGCCTTAGGCCCAACTTTAAAAAAGAGGAAAAAAGGACAAGGTAACGGGTTTTCAACACGCAACCTCAGGCATTTCCTATGGCATTCCATAACGGCTGGGCTACTACACAATGTTGGAAAGTTGATGCGCTTTTTAGTACATAAACTCATCGTTTCCGTAAATTCCAGCAATTAATGAATCAATCACCTTATCATTATATTGCCTGAATTCATCTCCCTCCAGATATAAGCTCGAACCAACTTCTCTCTAAACATCCCAAAAACATTTCCTCTTCCTTCTCTCTTCATTTCTCAAACCCAAATCATCAACTCATCTTCAACCACAATTAATCACTTTCTCATCCAAGATTAAGTCAAGATTAGCATCAAAGCTCCAAGGATTGTCATCTACCACAAGTTTGATCTTCCTAATCTCATTAAATCTTGTAGTTTAATCATGGATTCATCTATTTCTATGCTTCCCAACATTATAGCTAAATAAATTTGGGGCTAGAAATTGGTTAATTAATTGTTCTTATCATGTTTTAATTTGTATTGATTTTAATTGTTAAGTTTGTTCTATTTAGATTGTTGTGTCCAGAAAATTAATTATGTTGTGTTTGTGATATATATTATGAGTACTCAATCATAAACATATTGTTTGTTAAATACACAAATGAACACTTTCTGAACACACCGTGAAACTTCTTTTACCTTGTTCCAGATTGAAGTTTTACGGGAGAATTTAATTATTTAATTATATTATTTACACCACGGGGTTGGGTAAATAATATAGTTACTAATTAAGGTTGTCGTTGCACTTAAACAACTAGTCTCGTTTTGGCCATCACTGGGAAATGTTGACTAGTTACTTATTTTAGGTGACTTGTGTTGGGTCCGAAAATATTTATCTACAACTTCTCACGATCTATCTAAGAATAAAATTAGCAATTATGTCTATCAAATGAGCATTGAACAATTAGTTACCAATTTCTACCCCTATTTGCTATTGGTTGAACTTTGTGTTGATAAAAATCTCTTCTCTCAATCACTTTTATTTAATTACTTTTCCAAGCAAACAAAAATCAAAAGAAACGCATTCTCAACTTTAATCCTTAGTTTGTGCTTAATTATTTTATTTCCCGCTTCTCAGTGGTTCGACACCCTACTTCCTTGAGTAAAAAAAAAATAGTTGTGTGCCTATGCTACACACCAGCCTTTTATGTTATCAGTCCTTTTATGTAACCGGGTCTGTCATGCCGATATTAGAGGCCCAGACCCGGATTTCTCTCTATATATACTCCTTTTGGAGCTTTTAAACCCTAAGTCTTAATTCATTATTCATACATTCAATACACTTTATCTTCTTCTCCATTCTTGTTCAATCTCTCTTAGTTTATACAATATGGGTTTATCAATTATCCATCATGTGTTGCACCTTTAATTTTTGCATGGAATAGTTAATCCTAAACGTACTCAATCCCTCAATTGTGTTTTTATTACGGAAAAATGGTCGAATAAATACACTTAGGTGCATGGAATAGTTAATCCTAAACGTACTCAATCCCTCAAAAATGGTTAAAAAAGAGTCATATAGATACACTTGCTCTTTAAAATAGAGTCACATGGCTCAAATGACCAGTTAGTAACTTGGAACTCCCGGTAAAGGCTTAGGTGCCCCATTTTTTACCCTATCTGGCATTTTTTCCCATATCAGCCTGTTTCACCTTTAATGCCGACACGAAAAAAATCACAGCCTGGATGTAAGGATGTTTAATCGCAAACATCGTTACCTTCATCTGCTCGCTATTAGGGTTCCTGCGATTTTGAGTAGGGCTTAAAGACATCCATGGATTTCGACAGAATCAAAGGGATTTCACAGGAATATCGTCGCCTCAATCATTGAAGTAATGTAGATGTACTCAGACTGCGTTCAAGTAAGTAAAATTGATCGAATATTGTATTGGATTGTTGTTATGAACTCAAAGTTTACGAAGTTTTTTGGGGTGTTCTTTTCATGGCTGCTATGCTGGGATTTGCTTTCTCTTCAAATTTATATGGTTGACTCTCCATGTAACTTTCCTTGTAATTATAACTGCGAGCCTTTTCTGTCTGCTTAGCAGTGCTTAGCAGGTCAAATTGAATTTTTGATTTAAATTCAATTGATTTTGTAACTTTCCTGATTCATTCTGCTTTGTATTTGTTGAATCACGTAGTTATGTCCAGATTGTGTAATTCATTTTTAGATTAACAACTGATGTGCCTCATTACTCAATTGTGTTAGCAGTCAGTTATGTACATGTTGTGGGTTGTTCTACTACCCACATCATTAAGAAACACTAAATTGCAGTTCTGAAGTGATTATAGGGACATTTACATGGATATGTTGCTTCAGTAAATTGACACTTATACATATAAATATTTTTTAAAGATGTTTTTGGAAGCAGAGTTGAGAATACACCATGGGGGGATTTCATTAAAGGTGCACAATTGTCATATGTTAACGGTGAGGTGCATACAATTACTCTTGATCCAGATAGAATATCTTAATTACTCTCACCTGTTAAAGTTTATCATGTTGTGGAATCCTTATCTTTTAAATTACCTGGGGAGAAGATGGAAATGCTAAAGCCATTATGGAACGATGCATCTACTCTTGAGCTTATAGGAATGGCCAAAAATTGGGGAATAGTAGACGTTTATGTAGACACAATTGATGAGGCACAATTGATTTCAGAATATGCTTTACCTTTTACTGGAGCTGTTGAGGAAGTCGTAGACACAGAACAGAGGGTTGATGCAGACCATGCTTGTGAAAATGTTGAAGGAAATGCTGCCGAAGAGGAAGAAGATATTTTACCAGCCGGCCATGATAATAGTTCTGGTGAGGAGCAAGATGAGGGGAATAATGGCAGTGATGGTGACTTAATAGATAAAAAGACAACATGGGTAAAGAAGCAGCAGCAGAGAGATGACTTGCATTTAGATGTAGAGGGCGAGCAAAGCAGTGTGTATTATGATTCAGATGACCCGCCAAGCTATTATTCTAAACCTGAACATGAGGATGCCCAAGGTTGTGAGGTCCAATCTAGAAGGAAAGCAAAATTGTCCTTCATATAATTCTGAATCAGAATACAAATACCTAGAGTTAGAGATGTTATTTGAAGATGGAATTCAATTCAAAACAACCCTGATTAATTGCGCAGTGCATAATAAGAGGGATATTAGGTGGGTTAAGAATGAGCCTATGAGACTTTAAGCAACATGTGCAACTAACTGTCCCTTTAAGTGCACTGCATCGTGGGAAAACCAATATAGATGCTTGTAGTTGCAGACTTGGATAGGGACCCATAGATGCAATGAGAAGTTCAAGTTAAAGATTGTTAGTCAAAAATGGCTAGAAGATAAGTTTGAAAATAAAATAAAGGAAAATCCTAACATTGGCCGAGTGGAACTAAAAAAGAAATACGCAATGGATTTAATATTCATGTGAATATTTCCAAGGTAAAGAGATGCATTGCAAAGGTGCTTAAAAAGATTAATGAGTCCTTTGGTGATCAATTTCGTAGGGTGAGGGACTACGCCGAAGAATGCATTAGGTCAAATCCAGGGAGTACGGTCATAGTAAAAACACAAAGGATACATGAAGATGGGCCTGAAGTTTTTCAGAGGATGTATGTCTGCTTTGAGGCTTTAAAAGAGGAGTCTTAACAGGCTGTCGTCGAGTTGTTGGACTAGATGGGTGTTTTCTTAAAGGGACATTGAAGGGTGAAATTTTAAGTGTGGTGGGTCGGGATGGAAATAATGAAATGTATCTCATCGCATGGGCCGTTGTAGAGATAGAGAACACAGAGACTTGGAGATAGTTTTTAAATCCGCCACATGAGGATCTTGATATTAACAACAGCTTTCATTGGACTTTCATGATTGATCAATAGAAGGTATAAAATTCTTTAGTTACTCATTCTTTGGTTAGATTCTGACACTCATTATTTTCCATCATGTGAGTTTTTCCATATAATGAGTTTTTGTATATAAATGTAGGAAGCTGTCCACTTTTAAGATATAATTTAAGAATTATCTATCACATTAATGCTAATAACTTAAACTAAGTCAAAATAAGCAGTGACTTAGTTTAAGTTATTTTCTAATTATTTATTTATGTATTTATTATCTATCACATTAATCTATCCACTTTTAAGATTTAATTTAAGAATTATCTATCACATTAATCTGTCCATTTTCTAATTATTTATTTATGTATTTATTTATTTATAATGCAGGGGTTAGTGAATGACATAAAGAAGTTTTTCCCTAATGCTGAGCATCGAAATTGTTGCAGGCATATACATGCCAATTGGAGCAAAAAGCACAAGGGAAAGGTTTTGAACAAGCATTTTTGGATTTGTGCTCAGTGTGCAACAGAAGCCCAGTTTGATGAAGAAATGAGAGCATTGGAGAAGATAGACAAATATGCCAAAGCAGATTTAGATTTGTATGAAACATGTCAATGGGGCAAAGCGTTTTTTAGAGTAGACAACAAGTGTGATATATTAGATGATAACTTTTCGGAGTGCTTTAATAATACAATCGTCAAAGCTCGATCTAAACCTATCATCCCTAAGCTTGAAGCTATTAGAGTCGCTGCAATGAAACGCCTAGCCAAAAAGTGAAGTTTTCAAGTACGTGGCCTGGAAAGCATGGCCCTAGAATTATGAAGAAGCTGAATTCTAATATTATTTTGAGTATGGGCTGGAAGGTTTGTGTTGTACACCTCATGTCATATACTAACTCATTTGAATACATGTTTGAATTTTGATTATCTATTTCATTTTATTTTCAAAACAGGTTACCTTTAATGGCGATGATGGCTATGAGGTGAACAAAAGGAGACATCAGTATAAAGTTCGCTTGCAACAAAGAACCTGCTCTTGTAGAGCATGTGATTTGAATGGAATTCCGTGTGCTCACGCTGTGTGTACTATATTCCACAAAGGCGAAGACCCGGGAGATATGTGGATGATTGTTCCTCAAAGGAGGTGTACGAGAGGATACATTCCTATCATCTTGAACCAATGAATGGGGAATTGTTATGGAAGAAGATGCAAAACAATGGCATTGCTCCGCCAATTCCCAAAAAGTTAACGGGGAGACCGAAAAAAAAGAAATCGTGAAGCGAATGAGAAATCATCTGCTAAGGATAGGACTAAAGTTTCACGCACAGGCCGAGTTATGACATGTTCTATATGCAAGAAGCCCGTCCATAATAAAGCAAAGTGTCCAAATAAGTCCACGGAGACAGCGAGCACATCAACTAGTGTAGCAGGCGAACCTTCAAAAAGAAAAAGTAAAGCAACAGTAAAAGAACGTAGTGCTAGACCTCAAAAGAAAAGAAGAGAGCATAAGGGTTTTGGGATTTATATAGAGCCTGAAACAGGAGAAACATTGGTAGATGTAAGCATTTCTTTGATCAAATTAAGAAGTATTAATCAGCATCATTGACATGTTTTTTTTTGTAGTCGGGACTCTCAAGTGAACACGTACTGTGACCTGGGAAGTAGAAGCAGTGAAGATGTATTCCTCAGTGGATTATAGAAGGCCATAATCGCTTTGAAGATGTAGTTTTGTTTTTGTGAAGGGATGAACCCCTGCTTTGTTCAATGCCTATTTTGAACTGTCATTAAACTGACAAGTTTGACATGTATAAAATCCCCTGTTTTGTGACATGTAAACCAATGTTATATTTTGACATGTTTGATATTGTGGGAAGGTTTGAACATGTTATATGTAGTGGGTTATAATCCCATGTTTTGAAGGATCTTTGGGCAGTTTATAAAAGAAGTTTCTTGTTATGTACCATATATAAAGAAGTATCCTTATGGCAGTTTTTCAGTTGTCCTCTACCATATATTACAGTTTATAAACCCACGTTCATTATGTTAAGGATATATTTATATAGGACATAATGAAATATTGTGTGTTTAAACTCTCTTTTGGGATGGGGCAATATTATAGTATTCCACTATTCCGTACAGAACATAATGGAAATAGGGAGATTTCTCAAATAGGAGTACATGAAATTTGGAATTCCAAAATAGGACTACTATGTTTTTATTCTCGAAATAGAACTAACATGTCAGTATTTACTATCATCTTGTAGAGACTGTCAAGTGCCAAATAGTTGCAGTACAATGCATTTTATATGGCAGTATATATTATAATAATATAATTAATGACAATAATTTTTTATCATGACAGTATTTTTCATACATGGCGGTAACAACTCATATTTCGGAAAGAAAAACATAATAGTCCTATTTCAGAATTTCAAACCTCATTTACTCCTATTTAGGGTAACTTCCCATGAAAATATGATAGAAAGGAAAAGATAAAATAGAAAATCAGACCTGGAGCAATAAATAAATCAGATCTAATACATTAGCATTAGAATATTGTCATGGTTGTTACAGATATTTCATAGGATGCGTATGACCAAAGGTCTACATAAAGTACCACAAACATGCTATCTAACATACATTGCAACTTCATGAATTAATTTCTTTTAACACCACACAAATGAACATAAACATTGCTACGATCACAGCTAGCACAAGACTAACTAAGAATCTAAATCTCTTATTCTCATCAATGTCAGTCTGCTGCGTTCACACGAAATATTTTGTCCCGTAAATCATAAACCACAATCGTTAACTCCTCCAAGCTCACTTTAGGCCGTTGTAGTTGTTGTATATTACTTTCGTCTTTCCAACAAAAATATCCACAAGATTTTCTTTCCTGCAACAAATTGTAATAAGTGTAAATAATTACAATCACATTTACAATATTTCCCAATAAAGAGAGATATTAGGATTCAAGAACATATTTCAAACCCATTCTAGGTCCTCCCAAATACATACTGCCTCCAATTGTATATCAATTCCATCACAAAAAAATAAACTAAAATTTCAAATTTAGCTTCATTTACCTTCCATCCTTGACATCCGTAGAACATACGACCGCTTTGTCTGGAAACACAAAGCAGAGCCTTCAAACCACAATAACAATAAAAGCTGGATTCGTAGTTCAGATCTGGAATCTCCTTTCTGTTTGAAGTAAACGAAGATGAAGACATTTCAGAAGATGGGGATCGTTTGTGGAAGCCTTGTTCATAGATGAAATGGAATCTCCTTTCTGTTTCAGTCGATGTGCTCTGCAGTTTCAGTCGATGAAGAGGTGCTCTGTGTTTCAGCTTCGTTTCAGTCGATGTGCTCTGCGGTTACTTCTGTTCGTAGATGAAAAAACGCAGGTTAGGTTTATATTTAGGGCTAAAGGGAAGCCTTGATCTGCTGATGTAAAAATAAAAGGCAGATTGGGCAAAAAGCAAGGACACTAATCCGAGCACCGGGAATACCAAGTGAGTAGCCGCAGGTCATGTGACCCATTTGACACTTTATAGAGAGTAAGTGTATCTATGTGACTCTTTTTTAAGTTCATGGGCTTATGTGACGGTTGAACAATAGTACGCAGGCTTATCTGACCCTTTTTCCTTTTTTACAAGGTCAAATATATGCTACGAAACTTGGCACACACACAAACATATACTACACATATGTATGTAAATGGTGCTCTAGGAAATTGGTGATAAAAAAACTACATGTAAATGCACTAGTGAGAAGGGATGAGAGGCAAAACATGAGTGAATAACAATGTGTTGTTTCACTTCTAAAAAAGAAATAATGCTTGAAGGATGAAGATTGAAGAAAGTAGTAGTGAAACCGCACATCCTTTTAATCCATGTTAACTGGCGCCTAATTTATTTCGAAACAAGACTTGGATAGTTTTTAGCGCTCTAGGACAACTATTTTCACTTTAATGCCTTGACTACTAGAGTAGAAGGGATCAACACGAGTTTTTGTTCACTTTTTTGTTTTTGTTATGAGGTTTTGTTCACTAATTTACAGATTTTAGATATTTTAATAATAAACACGTAGTGACTTAGAAATAGAAATAACAACTGAGCTGGGGATGATGCATGTCAGTTGGGTTCACAAGATATAAAATAAAACTGCCTAAAGAAACTTACGAAAATTAATTAACATGCAGATAGCATTTTCACGCTCAAAAAGTCTTCAAGAAATTTGGGACATTTGCATCTGAAGCCATAATCTGCAAGCAAAGCCCTAGGAAGCACGGAAACGTGAACTGGGGGGAGGTTTCCGTCCCGGAAACGTTTCGGAAACGCGAAACACCTGGAAACGCCATGGAAACGTCGGGAAACGTTTCTGAGATGTTGTGCTGTTGGGCCGGGTTGGGAAACGTTTCGGAAACGGCGCTGGGCTTGGGCTGACGCGTTTCTGTAGAAAATTAAAAAAAAAACTTTAATCGCACCTTACCTCTGCGAAGACCCGAAGACTGCGAACGAAGAAGGGTTATTTGCGAAGGCCGAAGGGTTATCTGCGAAGAGGCGAAGACTGCGAAGTGCGAACTTCATCATCGCCTGGACTCCTGCGAAGTGCTATTTGCGAAGGGTCCTGGCACAACGATTCTGCGGTGCTGGTTCACTCTTCACGGGACAGTGGACGGAAGAAGAAAAGGCTTTGCTTTTTGGGTGAGAGGATTCTCTTCAATTTCAATTGTTTCCAAGTTCTAGTAAGTACGAACATTTCTTTATCCTCAATTCTCAAATATGGAACATACTTCAGAAGTTAATGATGGTGTCAGTGGTTCAGGGAGTTCTTCTGTTGGTGTTGATAATACACCTTTGTGGAAATTTGTTACCAAATTAGGTAAAAGTGCTGATACAGGAGGGACATGGAGATTCCAATGTAATTTCTGTAATAGCATAAAACAAGGATCTTATTCTAGGGTAAGAGCTCACTTGCTTAAAATTTCAAAACAAGGAATTGCTATATGCAATAAGGTCCAACCTAATGATATTCGTGAGATGAAGAAGTTAGAAGAAGTTAAGAAAAAAAAATGCACCTTCAGCGGGATCACAAACGGATTGGATAAGTAATACTAGTTTACCTAATAAAAGAAAAGCTAGTATTAATCCGTTGGAGAAAGCTTTTGATATGGATGCTAGAGGGAGATTAGATGAAGAAATTGCTAGGATGTTTTTTAATGGAGGGTTGCCATTTAATCTTGCTAGGAATCCATATTATGTGAAAGCTTTTTCCTTTGCTGCCAATCATAATTTAGGAGGTTATGTCCCCCCGGATTATAATAATTAGAACTTCTTTACTTCAACAAGAGAAGGCAAATTTTGAGAGGTTATTACAACCATCCAAAGCTACTTGGCCAGAAAGAGGAGTGACGGTTGCAACTGATGGTTGGAGTGATCCACAAAGAAGACCTATAATTAACTTTATGGCAACTTCTAGAAGTGGTCTCATGTTTCTGAAAGAAGTGAATTGTATGGGTGAATTTAAATCCAAAGAATTCATTGCTAATTTGATGAAAGAAGTAATTGATGAGATAGGTCATCAAAATGTGGTGCAGGTAATCACTGATAATCACCGATAATGCTGCGAATTGAAAGGGTGCAGGAGAAATCATTGAAGGTATGCATCCCCACATCTATTGGACACCTTGTGTAGTGCATACTTTAAATCTTGCCTTAAAGAACATATGTGATGCAAAGAATGTGGAGAATAACACAGAAATTTATGATGAATGCCATTGTATCACTGAAATCCATGGTGATGTTGTTCACATAAAAAATCTCATCATGAATCATACTATGATGTTATCCATGTTCAACAAATTCATCTCCCTTAAATTACTTTCTGTGGCGGACACACGTTTTGCTTCTATAATTGTGATGCTTAAGAGGTTTAAGCTTATTAGACGTGGTCTGGAGGCTATGATGTTGAGTAATGAATGGACATCATATCGTGAGGATGACCAAGGCAAAGCAAGGTTTGTGAGGGAGAAGATTTTAAGTGAGTATTGGTGGGAGCAAATTGATTATATTCTTGCTTTCTCGGATCCCATCTATAGTATGATTCGAGCATGTGATACTGATAGGGCGTGCCTCCATTTGGTATATGAGATGTGGGATTTCATGATTGAAAAAGTCAAAGTGGAAATCTATAAGCATGAAGGAAAGTCTCTCGATGAGTATAGTGCTTTCTACCAAGTAGTATACAATATTCTTGTGGCACGTTGGGCAAAGAGTTCTACACCGCTTCACTGCTTAGCCCATTCATTGAACCCAAGGTATCATTATTATTTAAACATGATATATTAATTTTTTTTATTTATTAAAGTTTGGTTTTTATTATTTTTGTAATAGGTTTTATAATGAAGTTTGGCTTGATGCGGATCCCACTAGGGTCCCTCCTCATAGGGATGGTGAGATCTTCAAAGAAAGGATGAAATGCTTCCAAAGGCTCTTTCCAAATGGTGATGATTACGATATGATTTTGGAGGAGTTTGCTTCGTTTTCACTTAAGACAGGGCTCTTTGACCGGCACGGGGATTAATAAAGTAAAAATTGTGTGGTTGAGATTTGTGCAGAGGAGAGAGAATTAAGAGAATTAACTGGAACCACAAATTCTTTACTTAAATGAGAAAGTGGCAAAGTTAGTGGGACATCCAAAAAAGGAAAGTTGACAAAGTTTTAAGGAACAGAGGTAGTATTACATCTCTTTCAAAGAGGGGAAACACGGATCCTAAAAGTTGGTGGGCCAACTTTGGTGCTTAAACACCAATCCTACAAACGCTCGCTTTTAGAGTTCTTGGTCAGCCTACATCTTCATCATCATGTGAACGTAATTGGAGTACTTATTCTTTTATTCATTCACTTAGGCGGAACAAGGTAACTCCTAAGCGTGCTGAAGATTTAGTGTTTGTGCACAACAACCTTCGCCTTTTGTCAAGGAGTTCTGAGCAATACGCAGATGAGAAGACCAAGATGTGGGATGTTGGAGGAGACGAGTTCGGCAATTTGGAAGAAATGGGCTATTTGGAGTTTGCTAATTTATCCTTAGATGAGCCGGAATTGGAGAGAATGTTTATCACTGAATGAAACATTTACGTAGTGCTTTTTAAATTTTACTTATTGTGCTGGTAGAATGGATTATAACAAGGATGTATGTTTTGTTTAATTATTTTATGGGTTGTTAGACATGAGCAGTCCCCAGCGCCTGGACGCCTAGTCGGCGACTAGGTGACGCCTAGGCGACGCCGTGACAAGCATGATTTGAATGTGTGTTATATCACATCTTGTCTAGCTTCAATAAGAAATGCAATAAAAGTAAATGCATATTATAATTAGGGAAAAGGGCATCAACCTTTGCAAACTGAACTAACCTTCACAACAAATTGAATAGACATCACCGAGAGAACATAAAAAGGGGTGGTATACTTGGGTCAGCTTCTCTCTGCAACATAAAACTCAAGTGGACTAGTGAAAACTTGTCAAAATATAGAATATTATATAGCAATAACTATTGACCGACCCAATGCGAACCTTTTTTAAACTTCGAAGATCATCAATGTGGAGAAAATAATTTAGTAGTGGATACTACAACCAAATCATTGTCACAGCCATGATATAAGGCATCGTGAGATAGAATACAAAAGAAATAAAACCACCCAAAAAGCACAAATCCATGCACAGATAATAGTGTTGTGTATACTCTATCGTCAAGCAAACACTCTCCACTTTTGGTGTATGACTATTTCTTATGTTTAGATTGATCACTTATCCGGCAAAAGTCAATCGTTAATGGTATGAAAAGTGGCCTAGATAATTGATCGGAAGGACTTAAAGTGATTTATAGTAATGCATCAGGGGAGGCAGAAAGTCAAGGACCATCAATGTAAATGAAATAATAGCAATGAGAAGGGGAAGTATTTTCGAAGAAAAAGAGGAAGGGCTGAAAAAAGAAGCATCCCTCATCTCAAAAAACGCGATACGCTTCACCTTTACTGTACAGAACAGATTCTTTATTCAGAATTAATAAAGAATCTATTTGAAAGTAAATTCACGGATCAAACATTCCAGTAATATTGCCAAAAATTTCAAGAGAAAATGCTGTAAACAATTAAGGTGTCAACTGATAGAGAGCAGGAAGAGCATGGGGCGGGGACGGGCTTGAGCCCACCTTCCGTGGGCTGGCTTAGTTATTTTAATTAATTCCTTTAGTTATTTCCTTTTATTATGCTTCCTATTTTATTTTGTTGCCTAGTATGATTTAATTAGGACTTCTATTAGAATTAGAGGTTTCATATTCTATTTAGTTTCCTAGAATGGTGATAAGAACAGAGAACTCCAGCAAAATATACCAGCTTTACTATTGCAGTTATGAATTTCTGGGTCTGTGAAGTTTCAGAATACCAGATAGAGAGGAACGTAGAAGTGCGGATAAGAAAGTTTACAACTTGGAAGCCATTCGAGAGAGCCCCGCTCTCCCAGTTACTATCCAAATTCCCGATTCCAGAGTCCTTCATCCACCTTCCGTCTGCCTTAATAAGAGGGAAGACAAGGGCTTTCAATCTAGGAGTGAACCTACTGAAGCTCATGGTACAGCAATCAGGGAGGAGGTACTGGGAAGGAAGAGGCGTCAAGATGAAGTCGGATGGCATGGCTGCTTTCATACCATTGATAGTAACCGGACAAATTGTGTATATTAAGTAAGAAATTAAGAGAACTCAAAATTACTGAAGCAATCGCAGCGAACAGATCTCCATTGTTCGCAGGTTTCACAGCAGATTTCCGCTTCTCACTATCCGCAAGTTGAGTCAGTTTCATTCTCGCAGCAGTCTGTGAGTCAGCCACAACCTTCATATGAAGATACGTTCACCATTGGTGACGAGGAACGAGAGGAGAAATTTTCTGTGGTGACTCCATCCTCGATTTCCATGGAATATGAATCTGCCGTTGATAAAATTGCTGGTTCTGAATTGGTGAACCAAGTGAATCCTGAAAACTTTATAGGTACAGGGTATATAGAGTCACATACTAGTATTGGAGACCCGGTTACATCTGCAGCTCTTGAGGGTAGAACTCAAAGTTCTAGAATAGATGCATCTAATTTCACAGACTTTGCTTGGCAGAAAATCATTACTGACACTGGACAAGTAGATGATTCTCAAGATACCTCATATACTGCTGCTATTAAGGAAATTAATAGGAATAATAGCAAAGCAAGAGATGCAGCATTCATCGGTATCCTAGAAAATGGAATACAATCAGATATTAAACATGATGCTGCAACAATGCATTAGCCAGTAGATGACTTTGTAATATCTCATGAAGATGGACTATTAGAGAAGCTTGTGAGAACCGATTCTCTACAATTTGGGGCATGGACTGCACAAATAGAGGAAACGAAGAAGGTAGGAGAGGGGAACATTAAGAATTATGTTGATCTCACCAGTATAAATCCAAACCAATTACTTAATGATTTTGAGATGGGAAGATTGTTTGGGGTAGTGGACAGGCCTCCATTGATGAGAAACTCACTGCATATAATCTGGTTTTCTACCTTGTTCAACATTTCACAGCCATTGGGACCACAAATGGTAGGCTGAAAGTTGTGGGAGGGAAGTGGGGGCTCGAGAACAAACACGTGTCTTCTATATTAAAAAGAGAGCCAAACAGACCTGCATTCTTTGTTATCTATGGGAATTATTACATGTTTATGGGGGATGAATATGGTTATGTGTCTATGGGGGAAAATGATGTCGAGAAAAGACAGGTTGTACAATTACTATATTATGTTTCTTCGAATCTTGCAACCGATGTGGATTTAAGGCACAACCAATCATCTATTGTTGGTTTGATTCTCCACTCATGTCCATTTGGGAATAGATTCAGAATTGATGAAGAAAATGGATTTTTCAACTTCTGGGACATTAGAGAAGATAAAAATGTTCTTGTCAAAGGTCAACAGCATCGGCAAGCAAAGGAAATGCTTTCAGAAAATTTATGGGAGTTCATGTTGACAATGTGGGGCAGTGAGGGAATAGTAAAGTTAAAATTGCATAACTTGGGGGAGTTAGCATACTGTGTCATTACTCTTCTGCAGATGACAGAGCAGCAGGTCCACACAGGGTTGAAGTATGCCAAAATTTTGAGTTTTCATGGTCACAAGTTCCTACAACTCATCAAAGACATGAACACACTCATTACAGGGGATGAGGATTTGTTTCTGGAAAGACTGTTTGCAGCAATATCAAAACAGTTAACTGCTGTAGATGAAGAAACACAGCACAAAGACTCAACTCTACTTGAACCTTCTCTTGGCATGCGTGCGAATGAAGTTCCGTATGAGTTTTTCAGTGAGGAGCATCCTTCAAGGGGTAGGTTGAAAGCTGTGAGACATGCAATACTGAGGGAAGACAAGGTGGTTGGGAACCTTTCAATCTAGGGAACCAGGAGTGAACCTACTGAAGCTCATGGTACAGCAATCAGGGAGGAGGTACTGGGAAGGAAGAGGCGCCAAGATGAAGCTGGATGGCATGGCTGCTCTTACTCCCCACCTTGAGGACAAGATGGTGTCAAAGGGGGGAGTGATGATAGAGACCTGGACTCATGGGCTTAATCATTTTCATTTTCATTTACCCCAGTGCCGCAAAGGCTCCCACCTACGGTGGGGTAAGGGGGGTCGGATGTACGCAGTCTTACCCCTGTGCTAAAGCATGGACTGACTGCTGCTCCATAACAAAGAAGCGCAGACAGTTTAGTGAGTCATTTTGCTTTATTCCATCATAATCTCAAGCCAAAAATAATGAAACTTTGGCTCCATTGCAAATGATGGAAATACTCATGGGCTTAATATTTTAATAAAATAAAATAGTTCGCCGGGCCAAGTAATTATATAGATCGAGGGAAGCCTCATTTGGAAAAGAATAAATAGAAGGAATATAAGAGGGAGAGGGTAGGCAGAAATTGGATCTGGAATGCTTGGGAGTGCGAGACGACTCAAACTGTCTCACTATTTTCTGTTTCTGTTTCTTCTCTTTCTTGTACGCTGGGTTTCTGCCATTGCAATTGCTTCAGTAATTTTGAGATTTCTCTTAATTCCTTACTCGAACTGTCTCACTATTTTATTAATTTACCTTTCTGCCCCTCCGGGTATATACTCTAGAGAAATCCCTATTGGAATTAATATCCAACTTCCCCATATTCTCATCAAATCGTTTAATTAGGACTTCTATTAGAATTAGATGTTTCCTATTCTATTAAGTTTCCTATTATGATTTAATTAGGATTCCTAAGGCTTAGAGGGTTATTTAAACCCCTTGTATGATTCATTCTTGATCATCTATGAATAAAATTGGAGTTTAGCCTTCTAGCTTTGGGCAACGATTTATATTGTTGATTATTTGGGCAATGGTTTACCCCGTTGATTTTTATTTTTTTTTCTGTTTTCAACATCAACTGTCAAGGATATAAATTTCTAGTAGTCAAACAATCATGTAAAAAAGATAATTAGCATGCTCTTTAAGGACTAATAAGGGACAAAACTGTGATTCACAATCTGAGATATATGGTTCACTTTCTTGGTCAAACATGCCCACCTTCGAGGGGGGGGGGGGGGGGGCTGCAGGGACTGATTTTTTTACATACTTCAGTTTTAAAACATTTACATTGAGAAGCAAAATAAAAGATAATACACCAACAAAGACTTGAAAATATGTATGCAGCGCTTTTAACAAAAGCTAAGAAGTATTTTAAACAATGGTTCAGAATTCATACCTTGTTAGCAAGCTCCTGTATCTGCATGCTAAAATCAGCTTCATCACAATGCTCAACATTAGGAAAAACAACTGAATCCCACCAACTTCAAAAAATAATTTAGAAAATCAATTAAAATACTGAAACAAAATATAAAGCCTCAAAGTGGAAAAGAAACAGATGTAGTAATTGTTTGTTAACCTTATCTTTCTTGGCTGTTCAGATATTCTTGATATGGCTGGAATCGTTCTACAAAAATCAAGTCGTGCCTCTTCATGCGCTGAAGAAAATCTAGTTCATTTGGTGTCAAGTCGAAATCACAGCAATTGAAATTCAACTCTAATGGGCATCCCTCATCAAAGACCTCCTTCACCACCCCTAAGACCTCTTTCTGACATTTCTTGGAAACAAAGGTCTCATATCTCCTCCTACTTAGGTTGTCATCGGATCTTGAAGAAGTAAAAGTAGGTTTATGAAAGCAAAAAACATTCATTTTTTCAGCCATTTTTGGTATCTCATCATTTTCATCGGCAAGTGATAACATCTCTCCATTCTGCATTGCAAATGCTGTTTTCAAAACTTTATCGCATTCATTTTGAAATTCATCATCAACGGGGGGAATACCAGTTTCTTCCAATTGTTGCTTACGAAGAACAATCAAGAGATGAGTGGGAAGAACTGGGCAGACATGGGCAGCAACATCATCATAAGAAGATCGCACTTGTTCCTCAGATGAAGAGGCAAAAGGAAAAAGAAATCGAGTTTTATCTGAATACACTTTACTGCCATTGAAAAAGGCAGAAAAAGCAGCCAAGGCAAGGAGATTCATAGGCAAACTACCCCAAATACTTTTCAATACAACCTCATTAATGCTAGTGGGAAAGGTGACAGCTTTTTTTAATATTACCGAAATAACATGTGGCGGTCTTAGCAATGCAGTGCCACATTCCTTTAGCTTCTCACATATCTCATGATGGAACTTTGATTTGTTTCCCTCAGCACACCTCTGATTGCTTTTTTGTCTATTGTCAACAAGCCGAGCAAGATTGCCACACAAATACTCTTTAAGGAAGTCCATTCTCAGGTATTCAAACTTGTGTTTTGTATGCTCCTCATTATCGTATGTGTCATACAAAAAATTCTCTTCGGTGATACTCAACATTGACTCTTTGTGGGCTTCTCCGGAAATGTTATTGAATTCCCAAGCCGCAACGTATCTTTGAGCTTCTAGTTTGCCAGAGGACATTAATCTAACAAGAGAGAACCCATCAAGAATTGCAAAACCCAAAACAATGTGTTTCTTCTGTTTCCAATCAACCCAAACCGGAAGAAGATCCTTAAGGAAATCTCCTTTTACGAGACAACTTCCACAAAAGCATTCACGCCCCGACAAACAAAGTTCTGAAGGTACGCCCCATGAAGACAATGAGTTGCACACACTTGAAATAGCATGGGGTCCTCTCCTGTCATCCGGTGGTCCGTAGAAAAAAAGAATAAATTCACAACTCCAAAACGAACCTAATAAAATGCAGTGGCCGGATTCAGATGCCCACTTGAAATCATAATTATCTTCAGCAGCTGGGCGAAGTGTGGATAATTTGAGAACGGTAATGTATTTAGGGTTTTGGAGATTGTGAGCCCATTGCAAGACTGGCATAGATGGTTTTCTCACATCGCAGAGTATAAGCAACCTGTTTGAAGACACTGCAAAACAAAATCCGCTAGAATCTGACTGAGATATAGCAACAAATCTATCAAAGTTCTCAGTCGATAAAAAATCAGCCTTTAATAAAATGGAAACTTCACAGCTGTCAGACCTCAAATCAACTAGGAAAAGTGTACTAGAATGAGCAACCACCAAAAGTCGAGTGTGCCAACTGAATTCACAACTCAACCAGCTCCCACTTTTTTCATTCAAGTAACTGCCCCATGAAATACACAATTGTTGGCCTTGCACGTCTAACGTTCTCCTGTTAATTTTCTTCAAACAAAAACTAATATCAAACAAGAAGAGTTTACCGTTCTCAAGAAGCACAATACACTCGTCACTCAAGTGTGGACTCCAACAGGCATGAATAATAGAAGAACCTTGAAATAACTTAACACCAGCATGGCCACCATATTCTAAAACTACATCCCCTAAGCCAACATCTCTAGGCATCTTAACAATATACCAATGCACAGAATATGTTGTGCAAACCATGACATATCCAATAACAGTATAACAAAAGGATGAAGATGAAGACGATAAAAAGACATCAAAATCATTAACTGGATTGATCAATAATCTAGATATCCGATGGTTCAACCTGTGACTATGCACAAAGAAATCGCTCCTATCCTTGAGTTTCTTAACGCTCATAAATTTAGAATCGTTCAAAGTGAGCACAGCAAGCCCTAGCTGGTCAGAATTATCACCAGTGGGGAAAACAGCAAGAACCATAGTATCATCACTATCAGCTTCTAGGTTCGGGCAATGAAGCAACTGAAGAGCATTGAAGTTGTGAACAGTGTCAGGATCCTGCGAGCCTCTCAAATCAGATGCAATGGTAGAGGCAATGGGTAAGGCACTTGATGTAAGTAGATATTTTGGAAGGGTGACTTCTGGATATGGTGGAGGAAGGCGAGGGGATATGGAAGGGGAGTAAAAAAGCTCAATCAGCGTTTCCCGACATGGGTTGAAGATTAGAGGTCCAATAGATCTTTTCTCGAGACGCTGCCGTTTTGATGTTTTGTTTGGGAGAAGGAGTGGAGGAGAAAATGATAAGGATACGGGCCATAGGGACTTCCAGTCTTCCGAAAACTCCATTATAGATAGTTAGACAACTCCTTGAGATTTTGAATGCTATTTCCACTAACACCTGTCAAAGCGTCTTACGGTTTAGCACTCAATATAACAAATTCAAAGAATGGAAAAATGATTATTATTATTAACCAACCACAAAAACAATATTTAGCACAACATTGTTGGGGGTAAAGCGTTTAAGACTCTATCTTTTCCTGTTTGTTAGAACTCATTTCACTTATCCACTTCTATTATACAAAGACTTAGTAATTTAAAAGTATTTAAAAAAGTTAATAATATAAAACCTCCTATGTATTTTTGGGATAAAGCCAAACTTGTGAATGTAATTCAAATCATTTTTCGTATTTCACTAGCATTTCCACGCATCTAAACATATCCTTAGATTGTATATAAGAGCATCACAATGCTCAGTCATCTGGCATAATTAGAGTATTGTTCAGTTGGAGGTTTAGTACTGATCATGTCACTAACAAGGAGCATGGAAGTCTAACCAACTATGTAAGCAACTATATTGCAAAATTGGGCTCTACCGTTCACACAACAAGATGTGCATGGCATTTTACATTTATGTAAACAAACAAGACCATACGTGAACAATTTCAAATAGAGAAAGACCATTACTAGTATGAGACACTAACAAAGTATCACGAGTGAGTACTAAACTGCTGAGTGCCGATGCGGTCACCAATAACACAACTCATAAGAGAAGAGCACAATTCATTAATGCAAGAGGTCTACTAGTATTCTATTTATGCGATGTAGTGAAGGAATTATATCTGCAACCATTCAAATGGTACAAATGAAATTTGATGATGTCAAAAATTAGCACAAAATAGGCCGTGTGCAATTATATAGAAATTAGTCAAGATTAAGACAAACCCATTGTACAATTGTTATTTGATGTAAAAATATTAAAAACGATATCAAATACAAAAACATATATAAAGAAACATAGATGGACAATTTTAAGACAACCACGGAAGAATGTGAGAAAGAAAATAACAAAATCGAATCATCAATATTAAGAGTTATCCGCCCATAGGATGGGCAATCAGAAATGTGGGAATATCAAACAATCTATAAAGTCATCAACCATATAAAAATTACACTTGTGCTTATCTCCTTCACATCACCAGCCCCTACCACTTTACATGACAACCTTCTTCTTATCCATTGTTTCTGGATAGATAAATTTACCTTTATTTATTTTTAGCTGTATATTCATATTTAATCCATGGACATGTATTCATCTCCAACTAAATTTCAGCCCATACTTAAAAAAATTATGTGACCAGCCCATTGAAAAATAATGATGATGATTGTAATCACATAAGAAAATGAGTGGGGATTTTTGCACTTTTAGCCTATTATATTCACCCCCATCCTCCCTGCCTCCCCCTTTCTCTTCATCGTGTTACCAACTACTTTGCATACATCCTCCTCCCAGATCCTGTCATTTCATTTGTGCACCCATACGCCACCACACTCCCTTTTCCATATCTGCCCAGTTCATCCTTTCTCTCCTACAGAACACTTCACCCTCCAAGAATGTGAACCTCTATCTCCTAATTCCAGATCTAATATGATATTAGTGAGATTACAATCAAGCCCTTTCTCATTATTTTCTATAACATCAAAATATGTAATACTTTAATAATTAATACGGAGTAATAACTAGTAAATCTAAATCCAAAGTAAACAAACCATTTAAATACTAAACTTTACATTAGGAATTAGTGAATTATGAACACAATTAACAAATCACAAATACACAATATGCCAATTCCCAACTCATGAACTAATTACAAATTAGTAAACTACGAACTAATTAAAAATTAGTAAATTATTTATTTATATAAGAGTCCTATTCAAATACGTTCATAAGGAGGTAGTTACTGGCAGTAGGCATGAAGTCATGAACACATTCAATTTATTAGGAATTAGGAATACAATTAACAATTCACAAATACACAATATCCCAAATAATGAACGAATTACAAATTAGTAAATTATTAATTTAAGAAATTAGGGTAAGAAAAATACCTAAAAATTGCAGATTTGACGGAGGATGGCCGAGAGTGGCGCTGATGGCGGACAGGCCGGAATCCTAGTTGCCTAGATGGAGGACGGCGGTCGTTTCTACCTCGGGATCCAGCGGCGCTGCTACGGCGAATTCCCTCTTCTCTGGACAGCGTCACAGGCTCACAACGGCTTCTGTTCATACTCCCGTAGGCCCTGGCCGATTAACGCAACACTTCTCCGTTGAAATTAGCCGGTTGGCTTTAAGTTGAATAAGATCTGGGCTGGAGTGTTTTTATGGTAATTATTTATACACCGGCCCATTACTAACTTTTTTTAGAGAGATTTTCCTAAATAAGACTAAAAGAATGTATAATCGCAAAAACAGGACTACTATGTTTTATTGGACAAAAATAGGACTAAAAAGAGTTAAACTGACGAAAATACCCCTAATGAAAAAATTACGCACACCAGGTCTCTGCTGCGCAGGTTTCCCCTTCCCTTTGCTGCGCAGGTTTCCCCTTCCCCTTGTTGCGCAGGTGTGCCGTATGCGCATGTTTGGAGTCGACGCCTCCACCATTGGCACCTCTTCCACCATCCATGAAGTCTGCCACCACCGCCACCACTCAGCTAGTACGCTGTCATGACTCTCCAACAAAGATTTGCCCTCCGGTGAGTCAGTGCAGACCTCCATGAGGAATGACACTTCATATGCGAGAATGCCACTCAATATGCATAATGACACAATGATGACAATTTCGTATAGAGAAATGACATTCTCAATATGACATTTTCAAATACCGTAATGACATAAAAGTGACATTTTTTAAAAATACCCAATAATAATGACATTCTACTATTCAAAAGTGGCATTTTCTGGAATAGTATGTATGTATGTATGTATGTATGTATGTATGTATGTCCCGTTCTCGTCATGACATCCTGATCGGAACCCCGTGTGCACAACACCATCAGAGGGGTTCATGGTGGATTTTTTTGATGAAATGTTTTGAGCATGTTCATCACCAAGTCTAGTTTATGCATACCAAATTTTAGCTCAAAATTCAATCGGGAAGACAGTTAAACAAATTCTTAAAACATATTGTGTTTTATATATGTACAAAATGTGCTGTAAGAGAAGAGACACCACTTGGAGTGGCGGCTTTTGTATTGTAAGAGAAGAGCCATCACTTCAAGCGAAGGCTTCCTTAACCATGGTTACCCCAACAATATTTTGAGAATTAACTTTAATCTAACAATATTTTAAAAATTATTTATTTAATTAGCATTATTCAAAAAAACCTTTCATTTAGGATTGACCGGTCCGACCCGGAACCCGGTCAACCGGTCAATTATACGGTCCGGTTGGGCATCAAACCGTAAATATGGTCAAAACCGGATTCAACCGGTGAGACCCGCGACGGACCCAACCCGTTCCAAACTTGGAAAATGCCAAAAACCTGAGAAACACGTAGGCTGCAGGATTTGAACTCACGCCAACCGCAACACATCTATGTTCCCAAGTCCCAACCAATGAACTATGCTACTTGGTTATACTAAGTCGTGTCGCTATTGTTATAGAGTCTGAATCTGTAGCATTATAAATGCCTTAATTAATTAGTTTGCAAATGAACTAATTTATAATACAGAGTACAATTTATAATACATACAAACAAATGCAATTTATATAATTCCTCAATCCTCATTATGTATTTCATCTTTATTTTTCCTTTTTTATTTATTTTATAATTGGTATAATGTTTCATACTTATCATCCACCTATACACACATGTATTCTAAATTTTAAATTATGTATTAAAATGAATACACTTTAATGCAATAATTTTTTTTACGTTACTTACATTGTATTATAAATATTTAATTATGGAGGGATGTAAGTTTTCTATTCATGAATTTAATTATTTACCCAGTATATAATAATATGTATTTGCGTTGACCGGATTTGCCGGTTATTGACCGGTTGACTCACAGGTCCGGGTTGACCCGTGAACCCATCATTTATCGGGGTCACTCATAGTTCCTGTTCTTAGAAGTTACTCCGTATAGGTTTACACTTCACTCATAAATTGCAAATACTAGATGAGTGGAATGGAATAAACTTTCGTGTTTTCGCTGAGCTCAGGTCATAATCAATCGACTGATATCCCTAGTTTTTTTCAGACAAGATTAGTAGCCGGAGGAAGGAGAAGTAGAAGATGCCTCTGAGCGCAACGGCGGTGGGAGCCCTGCTGGGATTGGGCACCCAGATGTACTCCAACGCCCTCCGCAAACTCCCTTACATGCGCCGTATGTATCTATTCCGCACTCTCTCTCTCTCGCTTACCAACGATTCTTCACTTTTGCTGATTCCATTCCCTCGAATTTTATTCCATAGCTGATTCATTCTTTGATGAGTTTGCTGAATTTTCATTTTGCAGATCCATGGGAGCATTTGTTAGGGATGGGAATTGGAATTGTTTTCGCCAACCAGATGGTCAAATGGGATGCCAAATCTCAAGAAGACCTCGACAAGTTGCTTGCTAAAGCCAAGGAAGCTAATGAGCGCCGCTATTTCGGTACCTTCTTTTGTTAATCAGCATACTTAAATTAAGGCTGTTCGGTCTGTTCCTATGTCCCCCTATCTGCTGTTATAATACTGACTTCATGTGAAGACTGAACAAAGTTGTCTGTCTGGTCGGATTAAGTCTTCAAGCATTGTGCATATCATATCAAGTTGCAATTGTAGAAGCTCTTTAGCAGTTGATTACTTCTGAAGTTGTTCAGTGCTACCTGAAGCATAAAAAGGGGGACCTGACTTTGCACCACAATTTTTCATTCAAGTTTGAGTTTGCACCGCATTTGCACCCTGATGTGCAAACCTTGATGTTCAAAAGACCAGTAAAAACTGGGGGTATAAACTCTAATTCAGAAGAAAATTGTGGTATAAACTTTAATGTTTAGTGTAAATATTAACGATTTTGAAAACAGGGTGCAAACTCATATTTCAAAGATAAATTGGTGTGCAAAATCCAATTCCCTCATCATCATTGCCCAGTGCCGCAAAGGCTCCGACCTATGATAGGGGTAAGGCGGGTCGGATGTACGCTGTGTTACCCATAGTGAAGACCGCGTTGAAAAATTGCATGAACTGACCGCTGCTTCATACCAAAGAAGCGCAGACAGTTTAGTAAGCCATTTTGCTTTATTTCATCATATTCCCAAGCCAAAAAATAGTGAGTCTTTGGCTCTATTGTAAATGATAGAAAGGCAAAATTCAATTCCCTGAATAATAAAATTACAATAATCAGTATATCACTTCGGTAGGGAATGAAATGAAAAACATGAGTGTATGGGATTTTCATGGGATTGGATTTGCTAATTGATGATTCTCTTTCATTTTCTACTGTCTGTGGAAAGATGAGTGTAAAGCTTTTGTGTTGCAACTTGCCTTCAAGGTTAAAAATTGGACAGCAGAATACTGAAATATGGGTTTAGTTTAATTGTCGCATAAGCGTCACTTCATCTCAATGATGAGTGTAAGCCTTATTATTGTCCATATAGTTAAAGGTTTACATGCAGTAATGGACTAAAGAACTCATGTCCAAACCTTTACAACGCCAATGAATTGGAACTTCACCAAACTTGATAGTTGTGTGTGTTTATTCTTTTACAAGGATCGGTAGCGACATCCAACTTACTAAAGCTGCATTTTCAATTTCAACTTATGAACTATGAAGTGTTTTTTTGTTTTGTTTTTTTGAGGTAACTTATGAAGTGTGTTAAGACTTGGTTTTCATGAGGTCAATTTGATAGAAGAAGCATTTCAATGTTTTAAATAAGTTTGTATCTTTATTTTGAGTCATTGTAAGATGACCAAACATGCTCTGCAAGATAGTGGGCTTATTGGTACATGCTAATTTTATAGTCTGTGTGATTGATATAGAGGTTTAATAGGATGTCTTATCAAGATTGGTACCATATTAGGAAATTACTATAAAGTTCCATCCATGAAAACATCCTCATAGGAGTAGTTGAAGATGTTAAATAAATATATGTTGGTTTAGTCGAAGTAAGACAATCATTTCAATATGTCGATTAACCCATTTCCAGTTAGGTGATTTAAGGGGTGAATAAATGGATGAAACTCACTTCTAAGAGGGTATTTGAAGTACTTATAGTCTTAGGTGCATTTTATGCACCACGTAATTATGTGATTTTAAAGGGAATCTCCCTACTCCCTACTCCTCAAGATGTAATTTCTCTCTACTCTAAATAAAAATATTTACTTTCGTTGTCCTGGAAAATGATGAAATGGCAAAATAGTGTAAAGTTGATCACATAACTCTCAAGATGGCCGCTGCCAATATATGTTTTTCAAGTTTCTTCCTATCCTAACTGCTGGAATGTGTATTGTACTGTTGCAAGTATAGAAGAGTCTAGACAGCTCCAGAGAACCGTTACATAAGTTACACAAAAAGGTTTCTTGAATCCCAGTTACATATCTGCAGAAACGCTACCCACGCATAATTACATAAAATGCATAAAATGCACCAAAGACTAGACCATAGCTATTTTAAGGGTGCAGATTTTAAAACTTAGGGTGCATATCTTCATCCGTACCTTATTGTCTTTCATGCACCAAAATAAGAGTCTAGACCATAGCTGCAGAAACGCTACCATCACTCTTGTACTTTGTATTTAATATTATAAATTAGTTACATATCTTTGTATTTAATATTATTATTAGTAGCCTACCTTATTAGTCTCAAAAAGGTTGTATAAATAGGATATTATATTCGGGAATGAATCAAGCTTTTCAGTCTCAATCTATTCCTACTCTAAAATCTATTATGGTATCAGAGCCTCTAGAGCTCTAACCGGCTAGTTTTATCATAGGAGTGTCTGCCATGGCTACTGAAGAAAACAGAGAAGATTCTGGTAACTCAAACCCACCACTCTCAGTCAACAACCCCATAACCCCAGATGGCCTTATCATGCTTAACCCTAGTCATTTCCCAGAAAAATTAGATGGATCCAATTACCTTGTATGGAGAGACCAGGTGATGGACCTTCTGTCTGGTGCTCACCTGGATCAGTACATAGATGAAAACACCAATCCCCTTCCAAAAAATGAAGCAAACAACCTTCTCCGGTGGAACAGATATGATCGTCTGTTGCGGCATGCCCTGGTCTCATCTCTCAGCTCAGCTTGCAAGCCCCTGGTTGTATCTTCCAAGACCTCTGCCTCCGTA